AGAGGCCATGTGATCATTGTTAAATGTCATTTAATCATTGTTAAATTCCATGTAACCACTGTTACATGACATGCAATCTCTGTTAGATGACATGAAATCATCATTAGATGTCATGTAATCATCGTCAGATACAATGTAATAATAGTTAAATGCCATGTAATCATGATTAGAAAGTATCGTAGATCTATAAGAAGGTGCGCAATCTTGTATTACGTACGAATTTAGTTTAAACCGAGACGTGTTTCAGCGAATACATTAAATATAGGCATTAAGTGTGTGTCAAAGTCTCCCTCATGATTACTGTTATATATAAAACAGCAAAATGTCAAGGTCTCCCTCATGATTACTGTTATGTGTAAAACAGCAAAATGTCAAAGTCTCCCTCATGATTACTGTTATATATAAAACAGCAAAATGTCAAAGTCTCCCTCATGATTACTGTTATATATAAAACAGCAAAATGTCAAGGTCTCCCTCATGATTACTGTTATAATATATAAAACAGCAAAATGTCAAAGTCTCCCTCATGATTACTGTTATATATAAGGCAGCAAAATGTCAAGGTCTCCCTCATGATTACTGTTATATATAAGGCAGCAAAATGTCAAGGTCTCCCTCATGATTACTGTTATATATAAAACAGCAAAATGTCAAGGTCTCCCTCATGATTACTGTTATATATAAAACAGCAAAATGTCAAAGTCTCCCTCATGATTACTGTTATATATAAAACAGCAAAATGTCAAAGTCTCCCTCATGATTACTGTTATATATAAAACAGCAAAATGTCAAGGTCTCCCTCATGATTACTGTTATATATAAAACAGCAAAATGTCAAGGTCTCCCTCATGATTACTGTTATATATAAAACAGCAAAATGTCAAAGTCTCCCTCATGATTACTGTTATATATAAAACAGCAAAATGTCAAGGTCTCCCTCATGATTACTGTTATATATAAAACAGCAAAATGTCAAAGTCTCCCTCATGATTACTGTTATATATAAAACAGCAAAATGTCAAGGTCTCCCTCATGATTACTGTTATATATAAAACAGCAAAATGTCAAAGTCTCCCTCATGATTACTGTTATATATAAAACAGCAAAATGTCAAGGTCTCCCTCATGATTACTGTTATATATAAAACAGCAAAATGTCAAGGTCTCCCTCATGATTACTGTTATATATAAAACAGCAAAATGTCAAAGTCTCCCTCATGATTACTGTTATATATAAAACAGCAAAATGTCAAGGTTTTCTCTCTATCCTGGTACACGGTCTCAAAAATGTATGGTACCATGTCTAAGATATGATGGCCACGTCTGGCACTGACTTGGTACTATGTATAAAATACGAATGTCCCGTATGTCCATGTATTGTTACTATGTCAAAGTTACGTCTGTCACTGCCTTGGTACACTGCATGATTAATTCATTACTGTCTTTTATCTCTCTCTCTCTTGTGGTGCAATTTATGAAAGTTTATTGTCGTATCTGTTTCTGTCTTGGTATATTGCAAGCATGCCAAACAGCAGACTTCAACTATCCAGAGTGAAATGCTCAGCTGATTGACAGAAAATCAAACTATTCGAGGACTGGCTAGAAGCTTTAATCAAATCCGTCGACACTGACACTGTTTTGTGGGTAACATTTGAAATGAACCGTAGAGAATAACAAATGGAGGACAGCGTTCAAAACGTGTGAAGGAAATAGAAGGGCAAGGAATGTCGAAATCTTAAAACAAGCCACAGAGCAATGAGACAAGAACGTTTCGGCCAAGAGCCTTCATCAGCAGATAGGACAGAAGAAAATAGGACAAGAAACTATAAACCAGTCAAAAACTATGGACCGTACAAGCAGGCTAGGCAGACTCACTGTCGGAGCACACGAGCTGGCGAGGCAGACTCACTGTCGGAGCACAACAAGCTGGCGCGGCAGACTCACTGTCGGAGCACAACCAGCTGGCGAGGCAGACTCACTGTCGGAGCACACCAGCTGGCGAGGCAGACTCACTGTCGGAGCACAACCAGCTGGCGAGGCAGACTCACTGTCGGAGCACACCAGCTGGCGAGGCAGACTCACTGTCGGAGCACACAAAGTTTGAGTAGAAAATATTTTAATCCAAGTTTTGGGAAAACTAATCGCATACTGACTTATGCGACTGTATGCGACTCGTGGTGACGTGTTTAGATATATATAGCCGACCACCACTTTTACCCCCCCCCCCCAAACCGAACACTTTTGATAACATGATAACAGTTGTAAAAGGGTAAATAAATATTTTAATCCAAGTTTTGGGAAAACTAATCGCATACTGACTTATGCGACTGTATGCGCCTCGTGGTGACGTGTTTAGATATATATAGCCGACCACCACTTTTCCCCCCCCCCCCCCAAACCGAACACTTTTGATAACATGATAACAGTTGTAAAAGGGTAAATTATCAATCAGTTTTGCAATGAAGGCTGGGACTAACCTTTGTCTTTGATCGTTCCTTAAGAGCTTCTTGTACTTCAAGATTTATTAGATGGCTGTTATCAACGCTTTAAAGTCAATAAGAAACAACCACTGGGCGCCACTTTTATTTGATATGCGTTTTGTTATATTTTGATTCCGTCTATACTATTTTTCTGTTCAAAGCCTAAGAAGGCTTCTGGTCGATACACCCGTGGTGTTGTTTGGTATTTTCTCAAGTTTTATAATAAATTCCAAATTTCCTTATGTAAAACTTGATCTTCGTCTCACCAATGCTGTTGTTTCAAATACAAGGCGTTGGCTGAACGTGATATGAACGTGACGTCATGCTAGTGACATTTTTGACAGCGGTACAATGTGTAGCCAAACGAAATTGGGATGTATGTTCTTTTTAAGTTGCAGGATTTGCATTCATCACCCCTTTTAAGAAGAATGGCACTAGTTGAAACATAAACAATGTTATTCAAGAGCTGTCTTTAATTTCATTTCAAAATTTCTCAATAACCCTTTATCAGACAGAACATGTTTTGTACAAATCATAATTCAAATCCTTGAAGTAGACTTTGGTATCGGTATTGTTAAATAATGACATAAATAAAATTGACATTGAATTACATAATAAAATTTCTACTTTTTTATTTGATGAGTAAAAAAACGATATGATCTTTCAATTTAAAAAAAAAAAAAACAAATGTCAAAGTTATTTTTTTTAAATTATATGCATCTAAGAAAAAATAATATTATGTTTTGAACAGAAATACTCTATTTAACTCACAGAAAAATTTTTTTTTTATTTAAAAATAATTTTTTAAAAATTCTCAAGACTTTCCATTTTGTTGATAACACACGAAGGCAAAAAGTACATCTGATGAATCTTGAGAAACCGTTGAGACTCCTGAGGACTACTGGAACTTATTATTTCTCGCCCTTTCTTGTGACAGTAAAATCCTAACATTCAACGATCATGAAATACAATACTTTGTTGTGTCCCTGCTGTCAACGAGAAAGTCTCTATAAATTTTATATGGGCAACAGTTTAAACAGAAAAGATCTTAAGAATCTCAGATAACCTGGTCAGGATTGAGCCAGCAACGGCCCGCGGGCGACTTCCGGATTTGTTTTATCCGGCATGCGGAGCTAATAGTACATTTGATTTTTTTTGTTTTTTTTAAATAGCGTCTGTTCAAAGTATGCTATGAACAATGGAGGGCCTTTTAAATGAGGCAGAAAAATCAATGGCTTCAATTTTTTTTTTTGGGGAGTTTAATAAATTGACGCTCGTTACAAAATAGGGTGACACGTTCAAACACGGGAAAACAATGCTTGAGAAAGTTTACATGGCCGCTCAAAGTGTTGCATGTCAAAATCCCATGGGCCCTTCATCGCATTGGTCATCACTTGAAATTTATGTGAGAAATATCTGGATACAATTTTTTTTCTTGGTAACTGTGGTTACAGCAGTTAACTTAATTTACTCTTATGGCTTCGTCATTTTCACGTGAGTTTGTAACGGAAGATACAGCGGGGATATCCCGACTTTTCTTATCACGCTTCTGTCAGGTGGCTTAGGTGACAGAAATTTTCTTGTAGATTTTGTTTTCAGCTCGCGATGAGATTGAGAATTTCTTGTGTTAAAGAATCACCCTCGATTGTTACTTACAAATAGCAAATTTATATATATTTGGATAGAGAGATAGAGAGAAAGAGAGAGAGAGAGAGAGAGAGAGATAGACGGTTCTTTGGGCAGAAGTTATTTTTGGATAGAGAGACGGTCCTTTGAACAGGAGCTAGTCATGTATACGGAGACAGTCTTTAGAGCAGAAGCTAGTCCGCGGAGGAAACTATTTAATCATGTATATTCAAGCCCATCCTACAAGTTGTGAAAAGATGTACAGTGCTAATAAACTCTTTACTCTTGTTAACTTGGCGTTGTAGTTTGTACTTCGGTCAAATTGGATATTTGAGAACAAGGCGCTCAGCGAATCTTTTTGTTGTTAGAATAGCTGTTCTTGGGTGTTTGTTGGCTGAAGAAGATATTCAGCCGATAAGTCATCTTAATTGTTGTCGTGTTTTCAAGCCTAGACATTCCCGTTAAAATATTTATTGACTTCACATGCCTTGAGCGCAGTACCCATTATATCATACTAAATAAGAAGACTTACCGGATTAAATTTGTTACTTGTTTCTTAATTTTTAATATACATTTTGTTACCAGCCTTTACTATCATAATTAGCCTATATGCGATGATTAAGGTGGCCATGGTTGCTTTCGACTGACGCACTACATATATATATATAATTTAGGGCCACTTCTGTAAATTACTTAACGCAAATTAACAATTGATCCGTTTGAAGTAAGTAACCATTGCTCTGAACTAAGTTTATTTCAGAGAGTTCCGGCGGAAGGCGTATGTGGGTAGGAAAGCTGGTCGGAGAGAAGGGTTTAGTGAGAAAAGGTTTGGAGAGGGTATAGGAGGGGAAAGGTAACTGCCGTATTTATTTAAGGAGCGACTAATCGATAAAAGTTATAGATCGACTGTAAATATCTCACACAAATAAGTGTAATTAAACCAACAGGGGACATCATTAAGCAATGTCGGGGTGTAAACATTACAATCCTCTCGATCTCCATTATTGTTTGGTTCACCAGAAGCGAAAAACGTGCTTTTGACATCAGCGGTCAAGGTCAAGGTCGAATTATCGTCTTTCCAGATATAAACCCCTTCCTGTTTTGTGTCGTCCAGGCCGACCCAAGCCCGCTCGGTGACCAAGGGGAGAAGCATCGCTACTTTATCCATTGTCTTTGGTGTCATCAGATAACCTCCCTTTGACCTGCAGGCATCCTCTGCTTCGAAGTACGTCACATAATTATTAAACCATCCAAGACAGGACATCGACTTTCCTGAGGTAAAGATCTGTAATCCTTTAGAGGCGTCACATACCACCATGTTGAAGACCTGATTGGCCCATGTCCGTCCGGCCTCCGTGTTTAATCCCGGGGTGCATACATTAGAGACGGGATTAAAGCTAAAGCTGAAACTGTCCGGATAAAGTCGGAGCGTTTTAATCCCGCACGAGATGACGGAGCTGTCCGTCCAACCTGGATAGTTGTGTGCTGGTTTATAGTAGCATTGTTGACAGCGGAAGAACATGTAGTCATACAAACTTGGCAAGTTGTTTCTAGTGGGTATGACTGTAATATTTAAAAGTACAGCATTAAAATCCAAAACTGTCAGATATAGATTGACAGGAAACAAAAATTGTTAAAGCAAGTAAATATATATAAAAACAATGAGAGAAATGAAAGGCTGCTATACTGCGGTGAGGACTGCTTAGTTAAGTTTAGTAATATCGTCAAAAGTAAGCAGAAGGTACCCAATCATATTTAGCATAATGGGCAAATAATAATAAATAAAATAAGTTTTTATTCATTGTTATCTATTTTGTATGGTTCTGAAAGCTAGTCGTGATTAAAAAAGAAAAAGTTTGAAAGATTTTAAACTTGGCTGGAATGTTTTTAAATGAACCAATAAACGCAAATTCGCACCGGTGTCACGGCTTCTAAAGAGTTGATCAGGGGCACGACATTTCTCGTCCGGGGCAATGCGGCGTAGGGTTTTCACTGAACCAGTTTGGAAGTCAGCGTCCCGTCTATCCCACATGACACTTTAGGCAATGTTTAGACACACACACGTGGAAACAACAGTCTAGCTCATACAAGATCTGCCATCTCTCGATTGAAAAGATACCTCATGATTGGGGAGCTGTTGTGGTGGATACCTCATGATTGGGGAGCTGTTGTGGTGGATGCCTCAATCATTGGGGAGCTGTTGTGGTGGATACCTCATGATTGGGGGAGCTGTTCAATCCTCCGTAGAACAATGAAAGAACTTTTTTCGTGTGGCTAATCACAATCACGGGGGAAAAAAATCGATCTTATCATGTGCTTTGTAACAAAAGTCGTCGTCGGACGTAGGATTTGTTTTTGGACTATTCCTATATTCAGTACTGACAATGTTAACTATCTCTACTGTCAGTTAAGTTTATATCTTGTTCTTTCTCAATTTCTTTTTTTGTTTTGTTTTTGTTTCTTGTTTTGTTGTTGTTGTTGCAGTTGAAGAGTACTTAGTCAAAATGCCAGTTGTTTTGTTGTTGTTGTTGCAGTTGAAGAGTACTTAGTCAGAACGCCAGTTGTTTTGTTGTTGTTGTTGCAGTTGAAGAGTACTAAGTCAAAACGCCAGTTGTTTTTTGTTGTTGTTGCAGTTGAAGAGTACTTAGTCAAAATGCCAGTTGTTTTGTTGTTGTTGTTGCAGTTGAAGAGTACTTAGTCAGAACGCCAGTTGTTTTGTTGTTGTTGTTGCAGTTGAAGAGTACTTAGTCAGAACGCCAGTTGTTTTGTTGTTGTAGTTGCAGTTGAAGAGTACTTAGTCAAAACGCCAGTTGTTTTGCTGTTGTTGTTGCAGTTGAAGAGTACTTAGTCAGAACGCCAGTTGTTTTGTTGTTGTTGTTGCAGTTGAAGAGTACTTAGTCAGAACGCCAGTTGTTTTGTTGTTGTTGTTGCATTTGAAGAGTACTTAGTAAAACGCCAGTTGTTTTGTTGTTGTTGTTGCAGTTGAAGAGTACTTAGTCAGAACGCCAGTTGTTTTGTTGTTGTTGTTGCAGTTGAAGAGTACTTAGTCAAGACGCCAGTTGTTTTGTTGTTGTTGTTGCAGTTGAAGAGTACTTAGTCAGAACGGCAGTTGTTTTGTTGTTGTTGCTGCAGTTGAAGAGTACTTAGTCAGAAATCCAGTTGTTTTGTTGTTGATGTTTTTATTTTTGGTGATATCTTTGGTTTCCCCTAGTGTGTGAGTTACATTTTGTATTATTAAATTCCCAGCCTCCTGGTTGCAGTGCTCAAGTGGATCGTGGATTAGACTGTTAACTAAGATATGTTATTTCTGATTTTAAATCAAGTACGTTCGTTTAGAGAAAAAGAAAACACCACAAAACTAAAAAAAAAAAAAAAAAGGAAAAAAAGCAATGATACTTACTCTTTTGTTGTAGGGTGTCCCAGAGCAGCCAAGACGCCATCAGGGCGTATAGATATTGCAACATTGGTATCTGTGAAATATTTCACCCACCTTTCTTGTGAGAACAGTAGCCAGTGCAGACTGTTTGAAAACTTTAAAAAAAAACCTAGGATACGTGTCTAGATGTGCCAGACTGATGATCAACGCGTGCAGTTCAAGTGATCAGCGGTGCTCAATACAGTGCAGTTCAAGTGATCAGCGGTGCTCAATACAGTAATATTTTGTCCATTAGCATTTCAGATTTGCGATTTCAAGATTTACGAACTAATTAGCATTCGCAATTTTTTCTCACATCTGCGAAATTTGAACCAAACTCGAAAATCACTTCAGATATTTTTATGTTTAATTTTTTATGTGAATTTTATACGTTTTTTAAAAAGATAATCCGTAGAGGATTAAATAGTAAACTGCTGGGGTCACATAAGTATAAGGTAGTGTACATGTGTTAGTTTGGCGAATAGCCATTAGGTGATACAGTGCTATATTTTGACCCCAAATCTTTACATTTTTAAAGGGAATGTCTAAGAATCCCTTTTAAAATTGAATTTCATTGCCTTGGCAGCGTGATTTATGGGTTAAGCACTAGAAAATAAGCATTTATTAGCATTTTTAGTGAATCGTGCCAAGCATTCGCGATTCTCTACTGTTACGCGACGGGTTATGGAACCTAACCCTTGAAAATTCGAGGTATTACTGTATTTCTATTCGTCTCATGGATTTTATTTCACTCCAGTGAAGATAACGAGATCGAATGATCGATGTTTCGCGTGGTGATGAAGTCTTTCAAATGGTTTTCTCAAGTACACATAACTGATTGATCAGAAGGACACAAAGACTTTCCAAAAACTATCGTCGTGAATGAATTATTTGAATATGGGAGACGATTTTTTGTTGATTTGTTCTAAAAATTACTGTCATCTTTGTAACAAACTATGAACAATTTTTGCAGCGGTCACTGTTTTTTAACTGCAGTACGATACCTTTTCAGTTTTCTTAAAAAGAAAAGCTTTCAAAGTTTAGAGTTTATAAAATATTTATGATACAATTGATAGAAATTTTCGTTAATTTAAAAAATAAATAAAATAGCTTCTCATTTGGACAACTGTGCTGAGCAACACATTTCTAAGGGGTCGCGACCCACAGGTTGAGAACCGCTGCTGTATAGGAAGGCAATAATAACTGATCTACTTCCCGTCATCCTATCGAGCTGAAACTTGGCATATAGACTCGATGCCGACGACAACAAATTTTATCAAATTTTCAGACCAACCCCCACCCACAACCCCCCCCCCCCAACCCACCAAAAAAAAAGTTTTTTTTCCTGTTTTTCAAGCGGAAGATGAATGAGATATGATTTGTTCAATGGATGCGTGTTTTGAAATAATAACTGATCTACTTCCCGTCATCCTATCGAGCTGAAACTTGGCATATAGACTCGATGCCGACGACAACAAATTTTATCAAATTTTCAGACCAACCCCCACCCACAACCCGCCCCCCCAACCCACCAAAAAAAAAGTTTTTTTTCCTGTTTTTCAAGCGGAAGATGAATGAGATATGATTTGTTCAATGGATGCGTGTTTTGGTGTGGAGATTAACTGTGTAGCTGTTGCTATGCGCTTTGAATTTTGTGACGTACTTTTGCTTAAATACATCTTTAGTCCATTAGGCTTTGCATGTACCACGTTTGATAGAAACGATTCACATACCAATAGGAAAGATCAGTTGTTTAAATCACATCCATGATTATATCATGTACAATTACATCAAGCAAACAAGAGATGATTTAAATGTGTGGATACGAAAATCTTTCTTTTTTTTTTCCATTTCCCGCTGTCGTATGTTAACTTAAGTCAAGAGCAGACGTTTAACTGGTTCCTTCCATTCCCGCTGTCGTATGTTAACTTAAGTCAAGAGCAGATGTTTAATGATCACAGTCCTTGGAACATTTGTCAGCAGTGCTTGTTCGCCTTATTTACGTCTTTGTGCGATTAATTTTATAAGGAGTCGTTTCGCAAATAACGTCACGCTCAGAGGGGCAGGGGGGCGGGGGGGGGTCGAGAATTTGTGACACTTTGTGATAGAGGGGAGGGGGGAGGGGGGTCGAGAATTCGTGACACTTTGTGATAGAGGGGAGGGGGGAGGGGGGTCGAGAATTCGTGACACTTTGTG